GCCCCCCTGCTGTCACCCCTTCCCCTCCTCAGCCCCTCTCCCCCTCCACAGCCTCCCCCCAGCTTTCTTCAGCTGGAGAAACTGAGGCACAGTGAGGTGGGCTCTCCCTGAGCTTCCATTCGGGGGGTGCTGGAGGCCGACAGGACACAGGGAGGGCAGGAGGGTTACCTTGAGTGCAGGGATGCCCATCTCCAGCCCGCGCACCGCCGTCTTGAAGGTCTCACTCCTCTTCTCCTTCCTGTCAATGGCATCTTGGAAGGCCTAGAGCAGAAGGCAGGGCTGTCGGGGGGCCACCCCTGACACAGGCAGAGGGGATCAGCCCGGTTTGGGACCATCCAGCTGGGGTGAGTGGGATGTGCCACCTCTCCCAGTACTTGGTACCTTCATCCAGGCGCCCATCTCCTCCTCTGACCTGGGTACAAAACGGGAGATGGGTAAGCGTTGTCCCTCCTCCCCGAGGGCTGCAGGACCGTCACCCTTCCCCTTACCTGGCTTGCAGCTCCAGCGTCCGCTGCTTTCCCGAGACCAGGAAGGTGTGAGGGAACTGCGCATCGTTCAGCTCCCGCACCTGAGAGACCAAAGAAAGGATGTGGAGCATCCGAACTGGCACCCAGCACGGAGGGACCGCCCTCAGCGAAAAAACCGATGAGGGGGACTGGGATTTCCCTCGGGCACAAGCCCTTCAGCCCCTCAGATCTCTCACACACAAGTTTTCACTGCCCCGTCGCAGGATCCCAGCATGTCAACCTCTCCCATAAAGTCACCCCTGGCTCCAGCTCCTCCCTCCTGACCGAGGAAGCGCGAACACCCCAGAGTGGGATGCGTTTGGAGGAGCCAGGGTGTGGGGGAAGCAGAAAGACAAGGTGCCCGTCTGACCTTCATGCTGTCCACGTCGATGCGGAGGTGGACCTGGAACTCAGCGCCCACCTGGATGACCCTGGGCACGCAGTACAGCAGCATGTTGTTGAACTGGGTGGGGGGAGGAGAGGGTGGGGTTGGAGCCCAGCACCTGCCTGCTCAGGGCTGGGGGCTTCCGTGGGATTGAGGGTCCTCCACCCCCCCGGGCCGAACTGGTTCTTGGGAAGGATCCAGCCAAAAAAGCGACTTATCCTGCCGCAGCGCTCTCCCACCCTGCGCAGGAGAAGCGCTCCGGGGGCACGGCATCTCCCAAGGGCTGCTGTGCCAGGAGGATCAGCAGGTTCCCACGCAGGGGATCAAACCCCCCAGCTCTGAATTCATCCCCTCTGGGTAGAGACGACCCAGCAACACCCCGGCCAGGCTGTGTTGCCCCTCTCCCCATTTCCATCCTATCCCTGCCCCTTTCCCCGGACATCCCAGCTCCCACCAGGAACAGGTACTTCTCCGACGTGCTGTTGTTGCGGGTGGAGATCTTCTGGATGGGTCCCTCCTTGATCAGCTCGTTGGAGGGATCCACAATGTCGTCCTCGAGGCCCAGCCGCTGATAGACTGCCCAGAGGTTCTGCAGCCGCTCCTGGGGGAGGCAGAGGGACCGGCCTAGGAGGCTGAGCAGCCACAACCTCGTCACCCCTGGGTCCCCTGCACCTCCCGGGCCAGCTGCAGAGTGCTGGGAGAGGTGGCACATCTCTCTCACCCCAGACTAATCTTCGAGACCCGTTCCCAGCCTCGAACAGCCGGTCACATCGCGGCTCATGTCACAGACATGAGTTCCCCAGGCTTGTGAGGAGGGGAGCAGGCACGAAGAGCAGGGTCTGACCCTCTCTGCTGAACACCCACGGTGCTCCTGTCCCATGCAGGCCAGGGCTGTGCTCCAAAGTCACACGGCAATGAGGAAATCTGGCAAACCACCGTGCCACGAGCTGTGACAGGCACTCACCATCTCGGCGATAGCTGCGTTTGAGTGCTTGGCCACCATGAAAATCATCTCCAAGGCCTCTGCAAGGAGAAGAGAATGGGAGGAGAGTTAAACACTTGCTTGGGGAGCTGTGGGAGAAGCCGCCTGGGTGGCTCTCCCCCACGGGGAAGCCACGCGAGCGGTGGCTGCTGCCCTCCCCTGGACACAAGCTGAACGGCCTGGAACGCGGCACAAGCGTCCGGCTCCGGCCCGACTGTGCCGTGTGTGGGGCCGGGTCCCGGGGGGATCCAGGCAGGGGCTCGTTTTTCACCCCACCCCAACAGGTCTGGGTGCTGCTGTGACCCGCAGGGCTCTGAGAGCTCCCCCAGGCACCGCGGGTCTCCCGGGGGATGCTCTGGAGGGACCATCCTTCTCCTGAAACACCCCCCACCTTCCCCACTGACCTCCACAGACCCCGAAAGGGCAGATTATCCCTCTCCCTGCCAGCAAAGGGTCACACCGGGAGGTTTAGCCAAGGACACGGTGCAGCTGGTGAGAGAATCCAGGTATCCTCATGCCCACGTACAACATCAGGGGTTGTTATTTCCCCTACAGACCCACCCTGCCGCTCCTCACAGCGGGAAGCGCCAGACGGAGCCCTTACTCTCTGCATCGTCCCGGTCTGGGGACTCGGGAGGCAGTTTTCGGACATAATCTTTCAGGAGGAGTTCGTAGCGCGGGATCCTCTGCACAGGTTCCAGCATGTGGTGCTGCAGCGTTAGGTTAGCGCAGACCTTCCTCTTCTGGGGAGAGAAACGGTGACCAGGGCAGCTCCCACCCTCCGCTGCTTCTCCCTTAGAGGAGATTTTGGGGAACTTTGCTGCGGTGTCCCCCCACCCTGCTGTGACCCATTACCTGGATGTCAGCAATGAGCTCCTGGAAGGGCGGGGATTTCTCCGACCAGACGGTGATGAGCTCCACGGCCTTGTCGAAGTTCTTCACGTACTCACCGTACATCTTGAGGAACGGCGCAAGCTTCTGGATCACATCTCCGATCCGTGGGGTGCAGCTCCTGAGGGAGGGAACAGCAGATTCCTGCGTCCAGCGGGGCAGAGAGGCAGCGAGGGATAAAGCGACGGGGCAGCTTGCACACGGTGGAGCACGGAGGTTTTTACCACTGCGACCCGCTACATCCCTGTACAACCTCCCGGTCTCCAGAATGGGAATGTCCCCAGCCTGCAGCCATCCTGGGCCGCTCATGCCTGGACACACCTCTAAACCACCCGAGGTGTCACCCCCCCTTTTCAGAAATATGATGTGGGCTGGAGTGTCTTAAGGAAGTGCTTCCCAGCGCAAAGACATTTGGAGCAGAACAGGGAGAGGTCCCTGGTCCTGTTGGGAGACCAAATTCCCCATCGCTCCCCGGTTCTGGCATCCTGCCCTCCCCTCCTGCAGCTCACCAATCCTCCATGCGCTTCTGCAGCTCTGGCAGGAAGAACTTGGCGTGGAACTGGTAGATGGAGGAGATGTTAGAGAAGATCATTTTCACCACCTCCTCTGGGACCATCTTCCCATTTCTGGCTTCTTTCATCAACTCTGTGTAGAATATCTGGAAGAAAGAAGGGATGAGTAAAAAGGGTCAGGAAAAGGCTTGAGGACCCTATTCTCTCTCCGAGCCTGGCACGTTGTCCTGTGCAAATGCCTGTGGAGGAGGGAAATCCCAGGCCCCAAGAAAGAAGCAGGGGTATGGAAGGCTTTGCAGGGACAAAGGTGCTTCTCGGAGGTGGGGGGTGTAGGAAAGGCAAAGGCCAGCCCCATTCTAGGGCCACGAAGACCCAGCGTGGCTCTTATCTCTACAGCTTCATCCTCCCCAAAACCTCCAGGCAACAGTCCCTGCACTGTGCACACCCTGAACTGAGCCCAGCCACTGCCACAGGGTCCAAGTCCAGGCCAAGTACCACTGGAGAACTGGTGAGTGTGGAGCCGTGCCGTGGTCCTGCCTGGTTTGGCAGCGTGGGGTGGCCGAGCTGTGCTGGTGGGGGCAGACGGCAGCAGGGCTATTGCTTCCCAGACTCGCGTGGGCCCCTCTGCTCCCCAGCTCACCTGGTCGAGAAGGTGGAGGCGGTTGACGTAAGCCTGCTCTGTCTCCAGCAGCTCCAGAGCGATTTTCTTTTCCTCTGGCTCCTGCATGGGGAGAAGCAGCTTTCTCCAGCAGCCCGAGGGGATGCAGCTCTGTTCCGCAGCATTCCCAGCCCACTTCAAACTGAACCTTGCTCCGGGTGAGGGCAAAGGAAGGACTTCAACAAAGCACGTGGTAGAAATGAGGGTGAAAACAAAGCACTTGGGGGGCTGGTGGGATGTCTGGCTCATGTCCTCCTAGGTCAACCCTTTCCCTGTGCCTGTTTAGCCCGGAGCAATACAGGGCTAGCAGTCCTGAGGAGTGGGGCAGAGTGGGGTGGGTTAACCCCACGGTCTGCAATTCCACCAGGGCCTCTGAACATATGCCCACAGGAACACGCCTGCAGCCGGCAAAGGGCAGTACAGCCCCGGCGATGCCCTGGGCAGGACCTGCCTGGGCCCGCCTGCACATCGACCCCCACGGCGTAGGTATGTCCGTGCTGGAAGAGACAAGGTCTGCCTGGATCTACCCGATGGGGAATTTGTGCCCAAAGCGCTAGGGAAGGGCAGGGACTTGCTCGTGGCCAGCAGCCACCTCACATCCAACCACGTGACTCTGGGCCTGAGCGTGGGCACTCCCAGCCTCACCTGCGCCACCCCCAGCGCTCACCTGGCTGCCAGGCTCACGGCCTGGGCCCTGCTGCCTCCTCCAGTTGTCCTCACCGATCTTGTGCCGGAACGAACGGAGGCATTTGAAGCTGAGCCCCTGTTGACGCTGCTGCTCCTCCTTCTCTTCCTCCGCTTGCGGCCTGGCAGCCGTCTGGGAGAGGCTCTGGCCTAGGCTGGTGGGGGATGCTGGAAGCTGCTGGGGCTGGTTGGTTGCAGGAGCAGCCTGGCCCTGCGGAGCCTGCTTGTCCCTGCAGGGAAATTTGCCAGCCCTGCTACGGAGGAATTGGTGTGATCAGCTCAGCCGTGCCCCTGGCACAGCGCGGCACAGCCCACCCAGCTCCCAGGCCCTGGTTAAAGCCCCGTCCTCGAGCAAAGGCGAGGAGACGCAGCAGCACCCCAGCGCTGGAGCTGCTCTGCTCCGCTACGACCCTGCTGATACAAAGCGGGCTGTGAAGCCTCTACCATCCTCCAAGGGGGCCAGGATCCAGCCCCGATTCTCCCAG